ATTTTCATAAAAACAACAAAATAGAATCTATTTCAACATTTTCGTCATTTTTATCGTAAGTCACGCTTGACTTAAGAAACGCGTTCAATTAGTTCCCACGAAAGTGTCTAAAATTCCAAATTTTTTCCGGGTGTTTTTTTTTTCGAAATGTATCGTAATCTCCGATTATCCCTGCTCCAATTACGTCGAAACTTACGCAATGATTCAGTGGTTTTGATCAGAAAGTGTCCGAGGAAAGCGTTAACGGATTAGAATGACTCTGCAACGGCACACGTCGAGGCAAAGTCGGACGATATTCGTCGAGAGATCACGGTGGAAAGGGACTCTCGGTCCATCGATTTTTACAGTCGATCGAGTCGCCGCGTTTCTTCGTCTCCGGTTGGTCCGCACTCGTCACGGGAATTATTACAAGAGGCACTTTGACACAAAAGCCTCGTTTTCTCTTACTTTCCTGCTTCATCGGTTGACTAGCCGTGCCACGCATCCCAATGCTGCGCAACCTCTGCGGAAACGATCAGCACGCGCTGCGTCGTCGTCGACGACGACGTCGCTTTTCGAAAGAATAAACGACACGGAAACCGTTGCCATTCTCGGTGAAACGTCTGCTTTCTGCTCGGAGTGTCGCAGGACGTTTTTTCGCTCGCCGTTGCTGCAATGATCGCCGTCGAATACGATTCAATTACGATCTAATGTAATTTCACTTGCGAATGCACGCGTTATCTCCGTTTATCTTGGGATCCCTTGGGTTTCGAACAATATCGTGCTTCGTTCTCCTATGCGGCGAGTTCTGTTAGTATGTCGGATCCGATAATTTGATGCAGAAAGTGCCGATTCTTCATTGTTCGACGACCATTCTTGGCGAAATGCCTGCTTCGTGTTCGCAGACATTAGAATCGATTCTTTCGGTCGTTGTTCTTGTTACGATGTTCGTCGAATACGGTACAATGTAGCTTTACTGTTAAATATTAACACTTTTTTCTGTTTTATTTAATACTAAACGTACCGCCATATTTGTCGCTTTATAATTTACTTGTAATTATTGAATTGTAATGATTGAAATCATCAAACTGCTTCGCATGGAAATTGTTGAATATTTGAATTGTTGAGTATTTCTTTATTCGGGTACGAACTGTTGTAAAAATTGTGAAAATGTGTTTCAATCGCGAATGCGATTCGATCACGATTTAATGTAATTTCATCAGAAAATCAATATGTACATTGCTTCCGTTTCTCCGTCGTTCTCACACAAAATTATGGTCGATTCCTTGTGTAGACAGTTCGTTTAGTATGTGTAATGCAATAATTCGATGTAATAAGTGACAATATTGTTTGTGTTTTATTCATACTTCGTGAAATATTTAATTCCTTTTTGCCGTTTGATAGAATCGATTGTTTCAATCGTTTATTTCAATGCGATTTAATGCATCTCCGTTAGTTCCTGTTTTCTAATAATTATACTGATCTCTTTATGTAGGAACTTCTATTAGTATGTCTGATACAATAATTTGATGTAATAAATGATATTTATTCATACTTAGTGAAATATTTAATTTCTATCTACAGACGATAGGATCAATCGATCTTCCAATAATCTTCATGAAAAACGATTCAATGTATCTTCACTGTCAAACAAACACTTTCCTTCTGTTTTCTAAGAATTTTATTCCTCTCAAACAAAATTATACTGAATTCTCTGTGTGTCAACTTCTGTTAGTATATCTGGCACAGTAATTTGATGCAATAAGCGCCAAATGTTCTATTTCATCCTAGATGACGTTGCGCCCCCTCCCCTCCCACCGCGATATTTTCAAATGTGATCTATCCCTGCACGATTTAATAGTTTCGACATAATTTCACTGAGGATTGAATGCACGCGTGAAACGCTGAAAAACAACGTGTCCGAGTAGAGACGCGGTGAGAATAAAGCGACGAGAATCAGGTTATTAGGACCTAATATCCGTCCGTTTCTCTCGCGAGACGGAATAAACCGCTTCCGCTGGCCTCTCGTGGCTTTTCAAAGCGCGTTGATTTTTCGGTTTCGTGGATTTTTATCGACGCGAATAATAAATTGGAAAAGGAAATTGCGCGCGGCTGTTCGTGGAATGTTATTAATTCGAGCACAATGCGCGATAGAGGAATTGATGACGTGTCAGCCGCCTATTCGATAAGTTCGATGACTCCGAAATGGAGATTGATTTCGATATTTATTGTTGGAACAAGCGTGATTCAATTTCCCGTTCGCTCGTCAAGTCTGTTTTTATCCAGCTTCGGCTATTTTCTCGATTCTTAATTTTGTATGTATGTAGATTGTATAAAAAAAAATGAAAGAGAACATTCAAATATAATGTCTATGTGCTAAAATAATATATTCATATATAAGTTTTTATAATATAATTATATGTATATTTAATTACACATATATAAATGTATATTTCATTATACATATAATTATATATTTTATTATATATTTTGTTATATATATATTTATTTATTTATATATTTATATAACTTAATAATAAATTAACAATTTAAAAGGTAATCTTTAAATTAATTTTTATACCTAATAAATTATTTAATATTATAATCTGTCATGAAACAGGATTTATTTCGTAAAGAATGTAATAATTCAAAAATATTTGTAAATATTTAAAATAATTAATACAGATGTGTATTCAACATTATCTGTTCAACCAATATTAGCTCGCTTGAAAAAATTGTTCAATATATTGTTGCAGTGTTAATACAACGTTTGCCTGCATTTGTTAAGTGTCAGAACACTTACGAAGTCGCAATTGATGCAGACGATTATTATTTTCGCATTAAATCTTCTGCTGTATCTACGTTATTAATAACTCTCGAAGATCCCAATCTCTTTTGCAAAGTGATTAAAGTATTCGGATCGAGTGCAGCTTTCGGAGCACGCTGCAATGGATGTGAAACGCAGCGGCAGCGATTTTTCTAGCGATTAATTAGTCCCAGATGCTTCTCCGCCGCTCGCTTCATTCCTCTGTTTCGACTTCTCTTTCGTAGAAGAGCGAAAACTGATGAAACGACCCGTGTTCTGCCGTTTCTAGATTAACGGATAAGTGACTCCACGGAAAACCCTTTATTTCGCACAGTAATTACGTGCCAGACGCGGCGCACCAGCTTCATGTATCCGCGCGTTGCGTTACGAATATCCTGTGCTTGCAGTGCAACTCGATTTCGTCGAATTTTGTCACAGCATCTATTGTCATTTCGTTACTAGATATATGTATATGATATATATATATACTAGATATATGTATATGAAATACTCGATGCGCAAATATTACTTTTAACAAACATAATAATATGTGTATGCTAATCGATGATAAACACTATTGTAAACAATGCAATTAATTATGAGTAAACTGCGGATTTTATATATTCACGACAAAAACAAGTAGACGAAGCACAACACAGTGAAACTATATATTAGAACAATTTAATAATTTAATTGTGTTATGTATAACTTATTAGAGGTATTCAAGTTAGGGATACATGTCCATGCAGTTTTTGTTTTTAGCGAATGATGCACGAAATTTGTATTACATTGGAAACGAAAAATTGATTAAATTAGAAACGTTTGCAGTGACGTGTATAGATATGCACTCTTTTACTATCAGTTTATGTAAAGACATAATGCAATTATTACATTGCATTTTTACAAAAAACATTATCCAGAAAACATAGCATTGATATTTTTCATCAATTGCATTAAATAACGGAATTAGTATCTGGCACAATTACACGGACCCAATAGACAGATAATGTATACATAAAAGTGATGCATTTATGACAAAAATGCATTTGTAACGGATTGATAAAATACAAGCTTTTAAAGGCATCATAAGGATATAAGCGTTTATTACCTATTAAATCTTATTGTTATGCAAAGATATACATTTTGTTCTAACTTTGTTATTTCTTAAACGATATGTTTACATCAATAAATATCTTTCTTTATATTTCCTTCTTCATAGTCAATTTTTCAGATTCCATTAGGGTAAGCACGAAATCTTGTATTATTTATGTCTTATCTAAAGGCATAATGTAACTCCTGATTGCAAATTGATTGCAAAATTGCGCTTCTATTTTCCTGAAATTACGCCGTTAACGCAGTAAAACCTGAGCCACCCTATAAACAGATGATGTAAACATGATGCATAGCTAATGTAGATAGATGATCTGAATCAGTACACCCAGTGCCAGCACAGAAACTCACCATTAGGATCCAAATAAATCATTCAAAACTATTAGGTTGTATAATAAGACCGTTCGCGTTTCTTTTTTTGTAAGAAAATATAGTACCGCGAAGTCGTCGACGCGAACAGACTTATTATACAATTTCAGTCTAAACCACCCTATCTTAAAGTAGACACTTCCAACTTTCGTTTAAGCTAATTTGCATAGAAATAGCTCTACGGGAACGTGTCTTAAAATCTATCTGAACCTTTCCTTTTAAATCTTGTAAACCCGACGATGTCAGAGGTCGATTTATTTTAATTTATCGAAACTATCTCGTCATTCTATTGCAATCTAATCTACCCGGCCTCAAAGTAGACACTTCCAGCCTTCATTTAAGCTAAGCCGCATAAAAATACCTCTGCGGGAACATGTCTTAAAATCTATCTGAACATTTCCTTTTAAATCTTGTAAACCCGATGCTGTCAGAGATCGATTTCTTTTAATTTTTCGAAACCATCTTGTCATTCCATTGCGATCTAATCTACCTGGTCTCAAAGTAGACACTTCCAGCTTTCATTTAAGCCAAGTCGCGTAGAAATAGCCCCGCGAGAACATATCTCAAAATTTATCTGAACCACCGCTTTGAATTCGTGTAAATTTTCCTCGCCTTTACCTAAGCGTCACTGGTCCGCGAGCGCACTTCTTACACAACCGAATGCAAAGTTTAGCTGAAATAAATGACGAGAAAGTTGCTATCGTATCTCTAATCCATACCTCTGTTTCGCCAACAGTGTGGCAGCGGGGCCGGATCCACGGAGGGTGTGATCGGTAGCGTGAGCGGCGTGACCAGCAGCAGCGGCGGTGGCATGGATTGTATGCCCCTGCGACCAGGGCCGTTTCACTACCTGATAAGCGAGCAGGCCAAGTCGTTGGTGGCCTTGCAGGAGCTGCAGAATGAGGTCGGCGCCCTTCTCGAATTCCGGGACCTCGTCATGGAGACGTTCCCGAACCTCCGGCACAAGATGGCCGCGACGGCGTCCGCGGGAGCGTCCGTGATGTCCTCCTCATGTGCTCCGAATTCGCACATCCCGTTGCCGCTATCGAGTCCATCGTCGCGACGAGCGAACGAATGGGAGCCGGGCAAGGTCCGTCGGCGGATACCCAGGGAAGGTGGCGAGTCGTCCTCGTCGTCGTTGCCTAGAAGCCGCAGCAACTCCCACAGCGGCGGCACGAAGAACAACTGCAGCGCGACGGTGCAGGATTCCGGCTTCAGCACGGAGACGTCTTCGAAGGACAGCGCTTCGACGGCGATAGCGCCCAGGCCGAACAGTCCTAGGCCAGCCATCCTGGACGAGGCGGAGGACGAGCTATGGAACCTCCTGAACGTGATCCACCGGAAGGGCATCCGGCTCAGAGAAGAGGTCGAGTGCCTACAAGGTCGGCTGGAGAGCGTGACGTCGGAGGAGCTGACCTCGACCGACATCCTGGACGCCGTGAAGGAGGTGACGTTCCTGGGAGCCGACAGGACAGCGATAGCTCCTGACGACGGCACGGAGGACAAGGAGAAGAACTCCCAGGTGGTAACGCTCAGAAGGGAGAAGGAGCAACTGCTGGACAAGGTCGCTGAACTCGAGGCCGAGACGATATCCAGTCGCGCAAGGGCGCAAGAGCTGCAGTCCGAGTTGGCCGCTCTGTCAGCCTTGAAGACCGGTTTAGAGGACAGGCTGAGAGCAGGACTGACCGACGCGTCCTCGGACATCTTCGCTCCGGGAGCTCAGAGGCTGCAACCTATCGCGCCAGTCCTGTCCTCGCCGAAGAGCAACAACGTTAGTAACATTAAGAGCAAGTCCTCGGCGTTCGCGCCCGTGGCGACCTTCGCCAAGGCTCACAAGAACCGATTCAGGACGAGGACCATCGAGAAGAATGTCCTGCTGGACGTCGCCGCTCGCAACGACGAGCTCAGAGACATCGACGTCGAGGCCAACGTCAAGGAGAGAAGGGCCAGGCTCGGCGCCCTCGACTCCGTTCTTGTCTCGCCGACCAGGGTGACGCACGTCAAGGACGTCGACTCCAAGAAAATTGCTGCCATTCTCCGCGAACACTCCCCTCTTGAGCTGCAGCGGCATTTAATCACTACTACCGTCCATAATCAGGTGAGCTTGGACTGCGGTCTTCGGTTTCTTTTGCGACGACGAAGGAGGACTGATAGGTCTGCATAGATGTGTCTAATGGAATCTCCGTCTGTTCAATTGCAGGCCTTACGGAAAAGGCTCGACGAAGTACAGAAAAGCACAGAAACCCTCTCCGAACGGTTGGACAAGGCGCGCGAAGAGAACGACGACCTACGTTTTCAGGTAGTTCAGATTTCAGCTGCTAGGTGGAAAGTGTGCACAAAAGAGGCCTCAGTTATAATTTTATTGAGCGATACCATATTTTTTAGAATTGTATGGATTCGTCCGCTGCAACCGGTCCTTGAAGTCCTCTAGATCCTTGAAATCCTTAAAATCCAGAAAGTTTTGCTAAGTCTTCAAAGTCCTCATGGTTCTCAAGACCCTGTAGATCCTACAGTCCCCTAAGTCCTCAAAGTCCTCTTTGTATTATCTAAAATTGCGTATATAAGTTGTATACAATTGCATATAACTTCTATAAAATTGTAGAAGTTACATAAAATTATATATAAGTTCTATAAAACTGTACATAATTTTTATAAAATTGAATACACACGTTATTTGTTCAAAATAGTGTATACTTTTTATCATATTTTATATAGTTTTGATAAAATTGTATAAGTTCTGTAGAATTCTACACAGCTTGTTAAAAAATTGTATGAGTTTTGTAAAATTGTATACAAGTTTTATAAAACTATATGCATAAGTTGTGTAAAATTGTATTTAAGTTCTATAAAACTATGTATAAATTTGGTAAAACTGTATCAATGACCAATTTTATCGAATAGAGTTGAGTCCTCTTGTGCACAAAACCGCCCACCTTGCCAATCTCTGTCGCAGTCTGCAAACCTAATCATGTGACATCAATTGCAGCTGGAAGAGAGGAACATCGAACTAGAAGGCACCAGGGCCCGGGTCCGGGTGCTCGAAAGACTGCAGCAACGTCCTCCGACGGAGCTGGACCCGGATGCGAACGGTGACCAACCGAGATGCGAGCAGACAGGACTGGAACCAGGTAGCAGCACGGAATCGGCTCGGGACCACCACCAAGCTGTGGAAGTGAAACCTTCTCCTCGTCGGCGACCTAGTCGTATACCCCTGCCGGGTTCCACATCGAAGGCGACAGCGCCTCGGCCGCCCAGCCACGGAAGAAACGACAGCAAGGAGTCGTTGAAGTCGCTGACAAGACCGCCACGTGATTCTAGTCGTGACAGTCACGGTGGCAAGTCGCTGTCGAAGGCCCGCGACTCGAGCCGGGACTCGCTGGGCAACAAGAGCCTGACGAGGAACAGCGGGAACAACAGCGGGGCCGGCAGCAGCAGCAGCGGGACCGGAAACAGCAAGGAAACGAATAGGGAGTCCCTGAACAGGTCCCTGCCGCGTAACAATTCCAGCCGAGACTCCCTACACAAATCCTCCTCGCTGTCCCGCGCCCGTGACTCGCTGGAGTCTAACAACCTCGGCACGTCCTCATCCCCGGGGACGACTCCTCCTCGACGACCGCCCGCCCCCGCACGCCGTTCCTACAGCCTGGCCCGCGCGTCGACGTCCATTGACTCTGAGAACGGCAAGGTACGACCCGTAAAGCAATACTTTTGGAGCAACTGGCTGAAGTCGTCGTTGTCCAACGGCCCCGTCTAGTAGACACCCCACATCTTCGCCAGGACGGCCGATAGTCGCTGTTAGGGACCTCCGCTGTGCTTCTTAACGTGCCCCACGAGCCTCCCATCCGATCCCAGGACCTACTCCTATTCAGACACTGTGGGATGTTCTAGCAATCTGACTAGACAAGCTTGTTGTCTCGAAGAAACGATTCTCTATTTAGGATGAACAAGATACATCTTGTTGATACATGTACAGGGTAGTAGGCCGAGGGTGCCAGACATTTCAAGGAACGATTCTATGTAAATTAGAATGTTTTTAGGGAAGATTTCTTTTTACTCTTCATTTGAAAGCTAGGATTTAATAAGAAAGAAAGCGTTGAATAGGAATGGCTTCGTATTGATTACTGCTGTTTTAACGACGAGATTTGCGGTATTATGAAACAGGGTATACATTTTATTAACACTTGCAAGATAAACAGTTTTAGACTTGTTCTTTTGAAATCAACATCGTTCTCTTTTTAGATCCAATAAAGCTAACCGTGGAAGCTGGCTGCTAGAAAATTAAAATTTAAACGAGTCGTTTCCAACTTTAGTTCACAGTGTGCCGCACCATTTAATGTTTAATAGAGTTTCTAGAACGAAATTATTATCTATATAACAAAATTATTATTTATGGAACAATATCAGTATTGATCTTCTTGTCGAATCCAATTGAGGAGGCTAATTATTGAAATTGGTTGCGAGAAAATTAAAGTCTAGATGGATCCGTTGTAGCCACGAGTGAAAGTGAAACATAAACGCTGTCATGCAAGGTATAATAGATCATTCTCAGCTATCGCTTAAAGTTGCACTATCTGATAAAATGGCGGGCTTGAAGTTGTTCCTCTCTGTGAGAGAGATCAACGTTGATCTTCTTACTAGATCTAAGAGACAAAACAGAATCATTATAACATGTTACTGAACTTGTTTCTATGGGATCAGTGTTGACCTCCTTATTGGATCCTATCTAAAAAGCTAATCATGGAAACTAACTGTTAGGAAATTAGCATTTGAATTGAATAGATCGCAATCAAGAGTTAAAATGGATCCAATGCTCGATGGATCATTACAATCCAGTATTTAAAATAGCATAATTTGATCAGACGGCTAGTACTGGTTCAAAATGCAACTTTATTCAACTTTGTCCAGCTAGATGGCTGGAAGATCCCACAGTGCCCAGTCTCGTGCTCACAACCGTGTGGTCCCGGTTCACAGGACGACCTAAAGCGACCGGAAGTGAGGCTGCGGTCGCAGCGAATCGGTAGCTAGTCCCGCTGTCGGTCTCGCTTACCATGTCCGGCGTGTGTAACCGATCGATCACGACTGATTACGATTACGATCACCGACCACGAACAATCACACACGATCGTTCCTCTCGACCATCCATCCTCCTCAACACATCTTCTTCTCGGCGTTCTCTCTCGTGGGCTCCTGTTTTCTCTCGGCGCGAAACCGGATAAATGGAACCGATGCGGTCCCCAAAAGCGCAATACCTGCGACGGTGATCGTTATTGTTTGAGAAAAAACGTTCGTTAAAACTCTGACCGTAACAACAGAGACTCTCGACCGATACTTGCCTTAATCACGACGACGATCCACTACCGAAATGTCTGATCTGGAGCGCAGGCGAGCGTGCGTTCGAGCCCGTCCCCGGCGGCGGTCCAATAAAGAAAATGGCCCCTTCTCGCGTGCCGCCGGTTTTTCTCGTAAGTTATGCTTCTTTTATTATCATTTGCTTCGATGCTTCTTCCTGGATGTGGTGAGCTATCAGCCTGTACCTTTTTGTTTTTATTTTTACTTTTTTTTTTTACTTTATCATATTCACACATGTATCCTGATTTGCCGTCTCCTTGTTTCTATTGTTTGTCTATTTTTGTAAGGTAGTACGTCATAGTTCTTTGGATCCTTTCACCTAGAGTTTGGCATGCGCACGCACCCCGTAGTCAGCTTCCCACTGAAACCCTAAACTCTTGGGACATTTTCCCCTGTTTGGATCTCTTTTGTTTTTGTTTCCCAGTAGAACGTTTTGCGACGTGTTTCTACTGGGCCATTTTAACCGATTTGCTGTTTTTAGTGTTGTTTGGAGAAGGATGCGGTGAACTCACATTATTGGTCTTTGAAACTGTAACTTTAGAGGATCATGAGGGAGTTTGAGGAAGTAGCCTGTTTTGTATTGCGGTCTCAGATTGGCAAAACTTTCCCTGCAGTGGAAATGGTATCTCCGGTTTCTGTTGCAGTGGCGCTGCCACATGTNAAAGTCTAGATGGATCCGTTGTAGCCACGAGTGAAAGTGAAACATAAACGCTGTCATGCAAGGTATAATAGATCATTCTCAGCTATCGCTTAAAGTTGCACTATCTGATAAAATGGCGGGCTTGAAGTTGTTCCTCTCTGTGAGAGAGATCAACGTTGATCTTCTTACTAGATCTAAGAGACAAAACAGAATCATTATAACATGTTACTGAACTTGTTTCTATGGGATCAGTGTTGACCTCCTTATTGGATCCTATCTAAAAAGCTAATCATGGAAACTAACTGTTAGGAAATTAGCATTTGAATTGAATAGATCGCAATCAAGAGTTAAAATGGATCCAATGCTCGATGGATCATTACAATCCAGTATTTAAAATAGCATAATTTGATCAGACGGCTAGTACTGGTTCAAAATGCAACTTTATTCAACTTTGTCCAGCTAGATGGCTGGAAGATCCCACAGTGCCCAGTCTCGTGCTCACAACCGTGTGGTCCCGGTTCACAGGACGACCTAAAGCGACCGGAAGTGAGGCTGCGGTCGCAGCGAATCGGTAGCTAGTCCCGCTGTCGGTCTCGCTTACCATGTCCGGCGTGTGTAACCGATCGATCACGACTGATTACGATTACGATCACCGACCACGAACAATCACACACGATCGTTCCTCTCGACCATCCATCCTCCTCAACACATCTTCTTCTCGGCGTTCTCTCTCGTGGGCTCCTGTTTTCTCTCGGCGCGAAACCGGATAAATGGAACCGATGCGGTCCCCAAAAGCGCAATACCTGCGACGGTGATCGTTATTGTTTGAGAAAAAACGTTCGTTAAAACTCTGACCGTAACAACAGAGACTCTCGACCGATACTTGCCTTAATCACGACGACGATCCACTACCGAAATGTCTGATCTGGAGCGCAGGCGAGCGTGCGTTCGAGCCCGTCCCCGGCGGCGGTCCAATAAAGAAAATGGCCCCTTCTCGCGTGCCGCCGGTTTTTCTCGTAAGTTATGCTTCTTTTATTATCATTTGCTTCGATGCTTCTTCCTGGATGTGGTGAGCTATCAGCCTGTACCTTTTTGTTTTTATTTTTACTTTTTTTTTTTACTTTATCATATTCACACATGTATCCTGATTTGCCGTCTCCTTGTTTCTATTGTTTGTCTATTTTTGTAAGGTAGTACGTCATAGTTCTTTGGATCCTTTCACCTAGAGTTTGGCATGCGCACGCACCCCGTAGTCAGCTTCCCACTGAAACCCTAAACTCTTGGGACATTTTCCCCTGTTTGGATCTCTTTTGTTTTTGTTTCCCAGTAGAACGTTTTGCGACGTGTTTCTACTGGGCCATTTTAACCGATTTGCTGTTTTTAGTGTTGTTTGGAGAAGGATGCGGTGAACTCACATTATTGGTCTTTGAAACTGTAACTTTAGAGGATCATGAGGGAGTTTGAGGAAGTAGCCTGTTTTGTATTGCGGTCTCAGATTGGCAAAACTTTCCCTGCAGTGGAAATGGTATCTCCGGTTTCTGTTGCAGTGGCGCTGCCACATGTTTGAAATAAGCGCATGTTGGTCGAGTCTCGACGAATCTTGTGAATTCACTGGTACATTTAAGTAGCTGTATAATTAAATAGAAAAGAATTGGTACCTCGGTGTTCAGTGCAAGGCTTAACGTAATCTTAATAGAAGCACAGATACAAATTTATTGATTGTAACAACTCTTTCAGTCAAAGATCTGTCACCCTGTACAAATGATTTTTGAGACGCAACCCGTCCCCAGGCGAATCAATTGACCACAATCGTTCGCGATTATTTAAGTTACCGTCGAATACTTTTAGAAGGAATCACCGACTATTCGATGAACAAATTTTGGAAAACAAACTGGTCACCGATGATTTCGAAAGTCACAGAATTCGACCGGCAATTTCACCGTACTAGGGACATGGGGGATGATCCATCCCTATCCTCGTTCGTTCCCATGGTCCCTGCCTCCACGTACGATTGCGTCCGGCATAATGAATTATATCAAGGTCGGAGCGAAAGAAAAAGCCGATCAATTTATTTAACACGCACGACCACAAATACGTATAGATGTTCGACCACAAATTGTCGCACCGTGCCTAGCAGTGCTCTTCTCCCCCCCTTTGTTTCGAATGGTCCATTAATCTTTCGGTTTGTTTGCTCTTTCATTTGCTCAAGTTTGATCTTATTTGCTAGCGTTGCTTGTATGCGGACGTAATCCTCGAGAGCCATGAACGTGGCTCGGGAGTCGCACTTATGATTGATGCAAAGGAAAATGAATCGACCACACGCTTACCTGCTTAGCCTTGCGGTTCATTATCCATCTCACGTGTCCAGTGCTGCGTGCTAGTCCTGAATCAAGTGCTGATTTACTATGCCGAAGTCTGTTGAACGAGATCTGACAATTCATTTTTCATTTGACAATTTTCCAATTTGCCGAAACGGTTCGAAAATATCTACCATTGGCGTAGAAGATCGAGAAGAAATGGCGATAGAAACACCGATGACAAGCAAGATCTTCAACTAGAAAGCGTTTCAGAATATCCGGGTAGTACTCATAAATTCGATTAGGCTGACTTTAAATTGACTGAAATTTACAGAAAAATCTAACGAGGCAGTCTCACGAATAAAATTATTTAGTTGGTGACACAGTCTCTCAAGGTCGTCTGCATAATTACCGAACCTTCTATCGCCATTGGAAACGCGTGGAACCATAATTGCAGTCACTTTGATAAGAGTATCGTGTTTTAATCTTTAAATTTACATCAATTACCGGCACAACAGGTATTGTCATTTGTACTGTGACACAGAGTGTCAAGAAAATAATGGGCGTCCATGCTGAAGATGATTTTTCAGAATGTGTTTGAATGGACGTTTGTGAAAGAGAACCTCCTCCGCGCAATTTATAAAAATAACTGCAGAGAAAGATTTACGAAATTCAAAATTAATGCACTGGAAAATAGCAGAACATTCTCAAATAATACCAATAATATCCAATTGTATTAAATTTGATCCAGTGACCACTAGTACCCATTTATGTAACTGACAAAAACAACAATTTCCTGTTGAAACAATTCTCCAGAGCGATTTTGCGCAAAGGTCCATCCATCATTTTGCAAAACCACCCTTAGCCCCATTAACTACTTGACAGACTGTGCGTCAAAGACCGAGCACTGATTATCGTGGGGTATGGTTTGTGTACTTTGCCTCTGAGGGTTTGAAACGCAGTCGCGTGTGCCAAGCTGCTGACAAAAGGAGAACTTGTCCGAGCAACGAGTCGATGACCCCGAAACACTAACGAGACCGCTATTTTTCAGAGCTGCACCGAACCACCGAGTTCCTGGTGTTCGACGAACGGCAGCTTCCGGCATAGCGACTCCTCTTTGTACACGGACTCGTTGAATGAGGAGACCTCGTCGGTGACTGGGTCCACTAGGGTGGAGTTCATCATCGGTTCACCTACTAGAAGATTTAGACAAAGCTCTGTCTGGCCGCATCGCTATTTCGACAGCATCGACTCCACTGCGATGCCAGAGAGTCTGATCACCGATGACTTCGCTGCGAACCAAGACGATTCCCTGTTTTATGCGTAGACGACAAGATACAGTTTTCCTTCGTTAGCGGCTCCGGGACAGCGAAACGTTATGGAGCGTCGGTGTGAAAAACATATTATCTCGAATACGATAGACCCAAATGTAGAATTAATTTATCCAGTCCTTAGGGTCTACGGATTACGGTTTAACTTGATCCTTGGGGTGCAAGGATTGCGGAAAGTAAATTATTTAACTTCATCCTTGAGATGCTAGAATTGTTTAATATAGGTCTTGAGGTTCAGTTGCAATTTTCTAACCAGTTATTGTAAAAGACATTTTAATTTATGGGATGAATGATGTAAGAATTGAGATTGGACCTCAAGGATTGGGTTCAGGGTTTTTTATGGTATACATATATTTATATCACTTAGCAGTGTGTATACTGCTATCTAATATTCTACATCAATCAGTAGCATTATTGGCAGAGCTTCTGTGATTCCATACGCAATAATCATGTAACAAGACGCTAACGAGGGAAAACTGTAACATCGCAGACTTTTAGATGTGACGAGAAATCAAGGTTGGAGTGATTACCTTGATCAGTGCCTTTTGTGTACTGCTATCATCGCTAGCCTGCGGATGTTGATTACCATACACATTTTTATAAATTTACGTAATAGTTTCCTGCTAGAAATTGTTTTTTATAAACATCCTCTCTATAGCTACTGGGAAAAGTGCATTCTGTTCTTCAATTTATTAACCCCCTGCCTTGAATCTAGAATATATTCATTAATTTCTTTCGAACGGAAATAAAAAACATCAATATCAATTTAGTGATTGAAGAAAATACAAGTATACAATTGACACAGATTTCCTTTTTCCTCTAGAGAAAGGAATTCTAATTAATGTAAAAGAAATCTCGAGGCAGAGGATTAATTATAATCAGTAGAAAATCGTTTTCGTCACTGTGCATAGTTCTGTATGCACGGTGCTTCAATTAATTGTATTGTTTAAAACTAAGCAACGTATGGCCTATGGAGCAGAATGACTATAAAATCATCCTGATTAAAGAATACTAGGATACATTCATATTTTGAAACAGACTTGCAATCGACAAGCCGCGAATATTTTCTTTAGAAGAAGAGGTAGTCATTTATTTTATTATTTCATGCTGCAAACGGAACAACCAGAAATATTTGCTATAGGCATCGATATTTTGAGAGATATTAGAAACGAGTGATCCAAGGTACCAACATTGTTTTATACGCATAAAGTGAAACTAACGGCCGAAGAGACGTGTATGCGAGTTATTTTTACAGTAGCCTATCGTGTCATCTCATTACGCCCTATTGTTTCATTTTGCATTTCAATTGCATTTTTGCGAACTTATTCCATGCAATACCAGACTGTACTTTGTATCTCGAGCACTATGGAATTGTCTCTCGTAATTAGACAGTGGACTTTATACATTTATCATCAAAATTAAACGCGCAGATAGAAAACAGTTCTAATCGTCGTTTTGTTCATTATTGCATTCAAGGAAAAAATGTGAAAATCTTTTTATTTACTTTGCATAGTCCACAGTCTATTAATTAAAAAAACAAATTGATTCATTGACTTAATTGTCGTCGAGCTGTGCCAGGAAGGAACGTGTCCTCAATTGCAGAAATCAGAAAGTATACATGGTTCACCATGTGTGTTCACTTACACGAAATGAAGGTTTTACACGAAATTTTCTTACCCTGTAAAATATTTGACGCAATTTTATAATAATTTGACAAATACGCGTACTTGTCGATGATTAATATATTAACGATGATTATACATTTGATTGTTCTGTTTTCACGTGACAAAAAAAGCAGGAAAGAATTGGACATAATATATCACTGAAAGAGATATCGGTTTGTATATGTCGGTTTGTATACGTATGAATCCCTGATTATCTTTATTTCAGTGTAATAACTCATGTCCAGAATCTTCAAAAAAATTTATTGAACGATATTTGTCACTATATTCCGGAACTGAGTGTCACTTGCAATTTGTGTCACTTGATTTTATTGAGAAAACATTTCTACGGAATTATCTGGTTTGCAAGTTGCAAAATTCATTTATAAAGAAACATTCGCTCAATCCTGACTCAGTGAGTACAAGATTTCTAGTATTTTTCTCACAAGTATCACTTTAATAGTTTATGTCTACGAAACAATCATGCTTACTTGTACAATAGACTATTTCATGCATAATTTTCTTCATCAAACGTAAGACTGTATCTACAAGCTGATGTAAAAACGGAAACTTATTAATCTTGAAAGTACATTGAATTTTTCGATGTGCGGTAGAAGAGGTTCAGTGCAATTTTTGTGTGCGAAAACGGAATACAATATTCTACTTGATCTATTTTCAATGTACATAAGAAAAATCATGTTCGACGGAAAATATTAATTATACACAGAGCTAGGCATACAATTAATCGACAAAATTCGCAATTGATTATTTCATTGACGATTGTATACTTATTCCAATCAATTGTGATTATACATCAAGTAAAACTGAAAGATCAATACATCAGTTAAGTGCAATTTATATTTCAATGGTGATTACATTAAATATTGCCCAGCTTTCATTTAATCATTTCTGTGATTTATAAAGCTGCAAAAATTCGTCGAATTTTTGTTAGAATATCTTGCGAAAAATTCACCAGAAAAATGTTAATAACAATCAGCGATATCACGACCATCCTTTAGCACATTCCATGCAGCGAATCCGAAAAACCATAATCTCATATTCCATGTAGAATTTATACCTTATGTTCGAACTTGCGTTGTAATTAGTAGAATTTATTTATTTGTATGCATGAGAGATGCGGGGACTATTATCGAACGTTCGTAGCGAGGAACATTAACGTAATATTCATTATTCGGAGAAAGACTTTATACATATTTTCTCGACGAATACCGAACGAGACACGAAGGGCCACGCGAAAGCGAATGAAACGCAGAAAGAGGGTTTCTCGATTATGCGAACAGCATTTCCAGATACACACATATCACGCGTGGTGACCTATCTTCGACAATATTCTTAAACACCACGCAACAACACGTTCGAAATCAATATAACAAACAAATCTTTTCTCAATTGAGTCTAGCTACGAAACTTCTCAACATTTTAGAATACATTTCATGGACATTTTATGCCTCCGAAAGTTATTAAAAATTGATCAAAATTTTTAGCACTATAAGCCTTTTTATTAGAAGTTTATTCAAATCATTTGCACGTATTTTGTAATAACATTCTTGTGCATAATTGTTGCGTCTAATCAAGGCGAAGATGCGCTTTTCTATTTATGTTTTTTAGTAATTTCATAAAATATCTTACACATGAGTTCTTGTACAAATGATTCTGAGATTATTTTGTTGTATATATCTGTTTTTAACGTTTTAGTATGTTAAAACATACAGAAGCGTCCAGTAAACTCGTTTAAGGAACGTTATTGGCATTTTATCAAATACAAACCGATTTTATATTATATTATATATTTATCTTCAAATACTTTCAAGATATAAAATTCAGTCCAGTTTTTACTGGACGCTTCTGTACGTTTTAATATACTACAACAATTATTACAATGTAAATATTACAAATACATAAAGAACCAATGTCTAGTTCCGAAAATTTCGATTTACAATTTGTCTCGATGTTTCAAAAACACTGTTTCACAAACAACTTTTCATTTCACACAAAATTGTATTGCAGAATACGCTGGCACTCAATGAGAAAAAGAGAACGTGTCTCTATGCGTGAGAAAGGGAACGAGAAGCGCGCACGATTTTTATTGTAAACGTTAGTGTCGATGATTTAACGGCGTCACCGGATTCCATTAGTCGAATCGTAAATCGTACGGTGAATCGACGAAAACTACTACGTACCATACAGTTCCTTGCTTCAACCAATTTCGTTATTTATAATAAAAGATGAGAGAATGTGAGCGAGAGAGAGAGAAAGCGAAAGAGAGAAAGAAATGTGGATTAACGTGAAACTATCGAGCGTACGTTTAATCACAGAGCTAAACTTGTGATCCTAGTATAAAAAATAACCGCGCGAACTATGTGATTAACTTAGCCGAACTGATAGGACTGACGGACATTACTTATTATTTTAGCGTCGAGGTATTTTAACACGTGACCGTGAGAAACCAAAATGGAGAAGGACGTTCGGCACCGCGACGGTCTTTTTCTCCTTTGTTACCGTCGCGTTAGGCGAACGTATCAGCGACGAAGAAAAGAAATAATGCTCAGAATTAATTAATTGTTCTCGCGTGTGCGAACGCAGTGGTTCCACTGCGGATGGCTATTATTTTTATATCTTAATTAACGACTGTGAGAGAACGAAAGCGACGGAGAACGATGCGCCAGCCGCACCGACGTTAGCAGCTTCCTTATTTTTTTTCGCGATGATAGTTGTTTTTATCGTCGTTGTATTATAAACTTGATCCTAGCTTAAAAAAACGAGTTAGCGAGTCCCCGTGTCCATTCTAGCGGGGGCCTCACACCGTTCGATCTATTGTTTTATTATCGAGATCGTGACCACACCGGCATCATTTATCTCTGTATATACGTACGGCATCGTGAATTATTTAAAGTTAGTTTAATGTACAGAACATCTGTGTAACGATATCTCTGCGATAATGTGATTCGTTTAATAAATACGATATTACGTAACGCGGGAGTTCCTCTGCTTATTCCCTTAGCCTTTTGCTTTGACGTCCTGGTATAGTTGAGTGACAAATGAAATACTTTCGAAGTATATTGGTAATAAATGTATTATAATATATTGCCATCACAAACGTTTATACCACAGTTGTAATAATTTAATAATTACAGGCCAATAAGTTTAAAACGGGAAGAGGGAAATGCAACTTTCCGGGATTCAAATCGGAATAGTAAAGAATAAAATGCAGGATAGCTAAAAGATTACGTTATTTTGTTTATTATTCTTAAAGTGATGCATAATAAACAAATATGGGTACAGCAAAGTAACAATTAAGGCATCAAAGAATGAATAGCAACAAAAAGGAAAACTGAAAAGTAACAAATGCGTATATCTTGAAAACCAGTAGATCAAAATTAATGATCTTAGGCTTAAATTGATCCTAATAATTCTACGCATCAAATGTATATCTTAGAATTGGATAATTATTGTTAGTTGCGATTTTTTCAAAAATGCGCAATTCATGGACCATGGCGCACTAGCGCTGCGTAGCGGTAGACGGCTTGGGTTCCAGAAAAACATTAATTATGGCTTAATTAGGGCATGAAAAAGCAAAAAAAGGACACAGCATTGTTCAGGAAAATCTATTTCATCGATCTAATATAAAAACAACAAATGAAAGACTGCAAAACATAATGAATTAACATAATTGTTAATTAAAATTGAAGGAGCAATTAATTATGTTTTACAATTTCTCAATTGTTTTATTTACATAAAATTGATAGAGCAGATTCTCCTGAACAGTCCTGTGCATTTGTTTTATTGTTTGATGCTCCAATTTAGCAATAATTATAGTTTTCCGGGGACCCTACATTTTACATATGTGAGCGATTAGTAGCGCCTCTGGTGGAATGAAGCAGAAGCTCAGTTTGGTGTTCGTACAGCGCCAAATGGTATAGTGGCAAAACACTCAAACTATTGGCCAAAATCAACTGTCGGTAATTTGGCTAACAGTTTGAACGTTTTGCCACTACACCATTTGGCGCTGTACGGACATCACACTGAGCTTCAGTTTCATTCCACCAGAGGCGCTACTAATCGCTCACATATGTAAAATGTAGGGTCCCCGGAAAACTATAATTATTGCTAAATTGGAGCATCAAACAATAAAACAAATGCACAGGACTGTTCAGGAGAATCTGCTCTATCAATTTTATATAAATAAAACAACTGAAAAATTGTAAAACATAATTAATTGCTCCTTGAAGTTTAATTAACAATTATGTTAATTCATTGTTTTGCATTTTTTTAAAAATCGTTACTAGCAATAATTATCCAATTTTGTGATATATACATTTGATGCGTATAATTACTAAAATCAATTTAAGCCCAAGAACGTTAATTTTGATCTACCGGTTTTCAAGATATACGCATTTGTTACTTTTAAAAATTTGTTGTTATTTAAAAAAGAACAAAAAGGGATGACAATCTTATTTTCCAAACTTGTCTGTAGTTTGAGTCAATGAAAAGTCTGACATCGAAGAATTTAGGCCGGCCGGCATTTTACTGTCTTCCATGTTTATAGTTTTCGAAAATTTGACAAACTTGTAAGTAGTATAAGTCAATGAAGTGTCGGTCGTCGAAAATTTTAAGATTTCTTTAAAATTGATTTCTGAATACGTTCTCGTACGAATGTTTGAACGTTTGAGGGCTCAAATAAAAGCTGGAAGGACGTACTTCACGATGGATTCATTTTTGGTTCAAAAGAAACTTCTAAATCGTGTCAAAAAAAATCGAGAAGTCCTTAGAAATAACCCGTAGAAGAATTCGATCTTATTGGGTCATTCCGAAGCGATTTTAAAATGTATATCCTTTGGATTGATCCGCTTCCCACAATTGTTGTGAAACGCTACAATGGTAGACAAATGGACAAACATCAATATCAAAGTAAAATAGCCTTTATTACATCGTGAAACGAGGACAATTTAATGAACGTTCAACAATTTCTAGAATTCTCTTTCGCTCTCTCGTTCGCACTTTCACGTATACAAGCATCATTTTATTCGCTATCTCTCTCTCTCTCTCTCTCTCTCTCTCTCTCTCTCTCTCTCTCTCTCTCTCTCCTTCTCTCTCCCTTGCGCACACCCACATACACTCACGCACACTTCCTTCGCAGATTCTTGCATCATACATGTCACTCGGTTGATCTGCTTACAGTTTGCCTCGCACCTCTTTTCTCCCCTTCGCTGTACCATCCCCGTTCACACTCATTACTCGAAAGGATCGGCTTATTCTCGCGGCTCCCGGAGAATACGCATCACGCGAACGCAACCAACCCGATCTACTCGCATGATCGACCCTCGAAATCCTTCCTCCCGTCCGCCCGTTATTCGTCACCACTTCAAAACTCGTCGTTCTTTCCCTCTCGCATCCCTCCCCCTACCTATATAAGCGGGTACATGTAGCATACACATTCAGATCGATCCCAAAACTGCACTCTCTATCCCTGCAGAAAAAAGGCACGAACTGGCGGAAAAGTCGGCCTAACTGTATAATATTTTCATTTATTTATTATGGATGGAACTTCGTCACAATACAATTATTTTTAATTTTCTTTCCTTTCCTTTTCTATCCATTTCATTTCACACATTCCATTACATTTTTCATTCCGTTTCTGCTTTCTTCCCGCAGCGGAAACTGCGTCGGCCCTCGGCCCTCGGATCGACGCCTCCATCCGAGCCGAGAATCACCTGATCCGTAACTGCGGAAGCCAGCTGCATAGTGCGCGCAGTGTTCGGTCACTGCTCAACAACTCTCTCCGAACATATATATCTATCTATCTATCTATATATATATATTTATTTATTTATTTATTTTATTTATTTATTTATTTATTTACTTTAACGTTTCATTTCCTTCCTACATCGAATGCCCATTCTCAACGATCGAATTTCCGAGAAGATCGTCTCATTAATAGAATCCTTATTTTTACAATACTAATAGGTGATTTAATTATATTAAGCAGGCGTGGGCAGAGATTACCCTACCGGACACGGTCACTATGGCTTCTTTCGATCAAGAGAACAACACAGTCTTCGTTTTACAGTTTTCTCGCGACGTTTCGGTGCTCGTCGCCCACGCCTGGCACAAAGGAACACGTCCCTTCCTCGAACAGTGGATATTATTTACAATCGAAGGAAATGTGAATGTTAATCGAACGTTCGCGCTGTCAAATAATCGAACACCTTTCGCACTAGAACAGCAACTGTGGAGCAGAGGCCGCAGAAAATGATCGAGATTCGTAAAATCTAATGGAAATTGTCTCGAAGTCTTCGGGAAGACTCGATTCGTAGAAATAATTTCTATCAATATTCCTCCTGTCCTAAACGATACATTGTCAGAAATGCATCTGCGGATAATTGAAGCAGTTGAAGAATATACAAAGACGTACAAGAAATACAAAAAAAGGCATGCAAAGAAAGAATAAAATGTCTGTCGTATTTTGCGAACGATTCAGAAACTTTATGCATCCTGGAAATGATACAGGAAAGTTCTATATCTCTTAAAGTCTCACAGTTTAGTCATTAAAACGAGAAGAACTATGTAATTATTTGTATATTAATAGACTGCGGATTTTATGCGTTCATGACAAAAATTAATATGTCAAATCTAAAATTGTAAGGTAATTAGAAGAATTTGAGGATACTGTTACATTATTTTCAACCAATTATAATTATTAAAAGAAGAAAGACATTTTCATCCGACTTTGGTGTCTTACAATCAACTTGAACAATTTTCATTTTGCAGAAAAATCCGCAAACAGCTATTATAACCCAGTCAGGGGTCCACTGGCGTGATAAAAGAAAAAGAATCTTAGTTTTTTCTTAAGAAATAATCGTACAAAATCGAAATATATAGCAATTCGATTGTTCCGTTAATTAAAACGCTCCGAGTGCGAATGGTGTGCCAAATTTGAACCGCGGGAAAAAAATAACCGGAATCTCAAATAATTTCCGAAAGGAAGAAAATCCGAAATTCGAACGAAAGGATCATCCACATATATCCCGGCCAGCAAAGCCATTCCCTTTCAGCAAGTTCATCGTAAACATCGTCATACTCAGAAGGCACTGCGCCTCCACTACGCAGCTAGCGACTTCCGGTTCTCCCATTTTGTTTTTCCTCCACCGTGCTCGAATTTCTCCCCGAATATCCGCGGTAATGTTACAACACTCGCCCGCCATTAGAACGCATCTCCCACAATATCGTAAATCCTGGCGACTAAATGTAACCTTACGAATGTATTACCTATTTACACCCACGCTTACACGCACGCAATACATACACACGCAATACAATTTTCCGTATCGTCGGAGGCACGAGGGATGCGCGCGCGCGTGCCCGCAGAACTTCTTGTTCGCGATTCTCGTGCCTCCGTGTGTCACACTTATCACGTATTGTTTAGACTATTATATAATGCTTATGCTCTATATCCTCTAAAAAGAAACGGTGCTCTCGTTATTGTCCTGCCTCACATTCTCTCTCACTCTCTCCCTCTCACACACACTTTCTTCCTCTCTCTCTTTCTCACTCCGAGTATTTAATTCCTTGCGCACGCAATTACAGGCATACCGCAGCTTTTGCACGCACACACACGCACGAATCGGATGCTCATGTATAATGTAGTCATGGAAAGCTCGACGGCAAAACCACAGGTGTTCGTCGAGTACAGCTTAAAGCGAACAGGCAACAATGCTGTCTAATGAACTCGCATCCAGTTCACCGGGATCTTCGCTTGTTACACAGCGTCAAACATGTCCGAATAACGTTCAGAAGCTTCCGTCGCTTGGAATTTATTCAAATGTTGCTAACAATGTACAAGTAGTGTCTACGTTCTCGACGATCGGCGCGTTGGATGTTACGAAACATTTTTCAATCGAAAGTGATCTCTGGATCCGAGATCCATCTACGACGTTACGAAATTTCTGACCAAGCAAGCTGAAAGCTCCTTAGC